GGGTTGGATTCCGAGTTTCGCCTAGTTTCGACAGAAAGTAAATATGCGCCACAATCTTTGGCTAAGAATGCGGGTGGGAGAATTCGGTACAAATTTCACAGCATCGTCAATGGTCTCAAAACACTGGGATGAAAAAAGCATGCAAATCTTGTCAGTAATATTACTACGCTAGACGCAATGCCAAGAATACCAAAACTACCCGGATTATCAGTGTGAATAATGCGGTTAGTGATGTTACTGGAATGCTCCTACACGCCGAGCGCAATTGCGCCAGGCCCTTCGATCTTGGACTGCACGCTTCCCGTTGGTACCCACCACCATTCTATGTATATGAACCACTTCTTCGGGGGTCAGCCCGAGCGGTTCTTTACTTTCTCGTGGATACCACTCATTAATGCGCATTGTCTACCAATTATCGGCAAGTTAAGCAACATGTTCTGTTCATCGGATTTTACTTTCTCGCATTTGGACGCAGCAGAATACCGGAAAATTTAGTTACCGATGGAAGCGAACAGCAAAAAAAGCACGGGGTGAGACAGAGCGAGTGCAATGGAGCGAAGAATGCACGGAATGTCTCTTCAAAAAAAAACATAAGCGATCAGATTCTGCGTCAGATGAGAAGAGATCCGCGGAAATGTCACTGCGACCAAACGAAGGGATAAAATCCCAGCGTGTAAGGCTCTACTTACAACCGATGGACACTGCGCATTAGCAAATGGGTACTTTCGAGAAAGTAAACGACCACTCGGATAGTCACCAATAAATAGCAACGCGCACCAGACTAGCCGGTGCGATCATACTTTTTCTGCAATTCAGTCCATCGAACGATTGCCTATTAATGATTTTCACTGCTTTGTACTTTAGTCTATGCAAAAACAGTTCAAAAACTGGAAAAAGTTAAAAATTTCACGCACCAGCAAGAAAGCTGAATTCGAAACCTTGAAGGGCGAATATCTTTCCGTGATTCCCTAGCTAATAGTTTAGCCGCTAAAATTCTCACGAGGCCATAGGTGATAATCAACAGCGAGGGAACGCTGAATTTGAATAGGCAATGTTGAACACGGGCAGGGGATCATTATTCTAAAATTTCAGCCTGCTAGACTCCGTGGTTCCTGAGATGCAAATTTACCTATAAAAAAATTTTACGGGGCCGTACGTGTTACCCGCGGGTACGGGAAGGCTGAATTTAAATTTGCCGCGTCACTC